CTTCTATTTTAGTTTCTTCTTATCACAATGCATTTGAGAGGCAGTTGAACAAGCCTTTCTGAAGAACATGACAGGAAACCCAGTGTCCGTCAGCTTCCTCACAGTGTTAGAATTAGACTGAGAGACTCATGCATGAAAACTTAGAGACACTGGTTTGTACATTAGAAATAATTGTATTCACCTATTCATTTGTTGATGTTTTATTTCTTACTGGTTCTCATTTTTCTGCATTCTCTTTCTTCTAAGAAGGAAGAATACAGCTAAGCACAGGCCTACGCTGCCAGCAGCTCAAAACAGTGAGTCAGGAGGATCACAAGTTCAAAGCAAGCCTCAGCAACTATCAAGGCTCTCAGCAATTTAGCAAGACCCTGTCTCAAAATATAATAATAATAATAATAATAATAAAAGGGCGAAGGATGTGCTCAGTGGACAAACATCCCTGGGGTCAATCCCTGTTATGAGAAGAAAAAAAAAAGGAAGAATACAGACAACCAAACCAAAGGCAAAAACAAAGTTTTCTAAGACAAGAAAATTAAATATACTGCAGACTAAATTTAAATAGCATTGCAAAACCTAAATGAAGTCATAGTAAGGTTTTGGAATGTTATGTTCTAGAAGTGAGAAACAAAGAAGATATCTATTGTATAGAAACAAAAAGAAAAAGATAGTCTGCCTCACCCTGCAGAGCTGAACCCAAGAAACCTGTGAGGGGAAGTGGATTAAGAAAAACACACACACAGGTGTTGAGCTAAAGCTGGGATCTGTTGCACTGTGATGGAGAAACGCAACTGAAGAGCTGGCCCAGCAAGTTTATTTACATAGGATCTCATAATCAAGAAGTTAAGGACTATGGAGGCATTGTGTTCTTTGTGCACTAGAAGATTACAGGGCTAGAAACATTCTTGTAGGTGTTCCACTTTGCAATGCTTGGAGCTTCCTGCAGCACTTCAGGTGGCCCATTGTCCGAGTTACTGTTAAGCCACCAGCTCAGAAGTAGCAGCGCTAGTGAAACATTGTGGTTGTCTTGTCAGGCTTAGAATTCTTCTAGCCTCAGAAGCTCTGTGCCTGATTACCAAGGTTGAGATTGATAAGACTCTTGCACAGAGCCTCTTTGGGATGGGCGTCACCATAGCAACAGAGCATCCTGTACCTTGCACAGAAACATTCCTAGGCAGCAGGTGCACCACAGCCATGAAGCAACCAGGGATCCAGTCTCAGTCACCATACTCTTTGGAGTACAGTGACTTCTGGAGAAGAAACTAGATGAGATCTTCCCATGGGACTTGGCAATAGAGCTTCTGATCATTCCTCCTCAGATTGAATGAGCCTCCATTCATTTTGAAATGAGGCATTCAGTCCTTTTTAACTTTGTTTCAAAGTGAATGTATAACTCTGCAAATTTGTTTCTAGTTTTTGGTTAAACTTCTTGCAAAGTTAGGGTAACTTTTGCCTTCACCCTTTCCTTTTGCCATATTTTGGTTCTTATTTTCTCCTGAATGTCTCCTTGTCCTGTATTTTACAGAACTACTTCCTTAGTAAGCAGGACACCAGGAAGGCCACCAAGGAGATTGTGGAACATGACTTCATTGTTCTTAAAAACCTTCTTAAGATGCTGGATGTGGGTGGCCAGCGGTCTCAACACCGAAGTGATTCCAGTGTTTAATGAGAACATGTCAATCCTGTTCATGATGTCCTCTAGCTAATACAACAAGGTTCTCACAGAGGACAGGCACACCAACTGGCTGATGGAGTCGATGAACATCTTTGAGACTATCATCAACTGCTCTTCTTCAACATCTCCATATTTTTTTTTCCTCAAGAAGGGGGACTTTCTGGTGGAGAGTGTGAAGATGGTCAGCATCAGGAAGCACTTCCTGGATTTCAAGGGCAACTTTACCAACTGAGGACATCCAGCAGCACTTGGTCCAGTGTTTTGTCAGAAAGAGACAAGACCACAGCAAGCTGCTGATCCACCACTTCACTTCTGCCATAGACACTAAGAACATCCGCTTCGTGTTCCATGCTGTGAAAGACACGATCCTGCAGGAGAACCTGAAGGACATCATGCTGCAGTGAGAGGAAGCCCCCTCGTGCCTTTGTGAGGCAGCCTGTGTGGCTGTTGGCACTTGTGGCCTGTGTGGTCCTGCAGGACTTCTCAGATCCACACCGTCGAATACCTGGCTCAAGAACGCTGGGCTCCAGCCCAGCCACGAGCTCTAGGCAAGAGGACGTGGGAACTCCATGTTAGCTACTGATTTGGGGACTAGTGAAACTACTGAAAATCCCAGTGCTCACATTGGTGTTAATCTGCAATACCTAATAACACAGCCTTCTTTTTACAGGAACTGCATTCCTTTCCTGACACAATTAAATCGAGGATGGTGTGTGCGCACACATTCTCTCTTTAATGACTAAAACACAAAAACCAGCTGGCCTTGCACATGGCTTTTCTCTCTAACCTCTGAGTCTTCACTGAGACTAACCCAAAATCTTTGCCTAGTGGTAGCTTGTAGAGATGCATTGCCAGTGCTGCTGGGCACAGTGCCTGCTGGCCCTCCATCTCTGGCGCAGGGCCTGAGTGCCACCTCCCAAGTGAACTCACTGCCTTTAAAACTTGTGCCAATGTCCTAAGCGCCCCCAGTCCAAGTATATTAGGTTGAGCCGAGGATCTGTGTCAGGGTCCCCACTCCCTTCCATGGAGGACGAGGTTGAGAGCCATGGACCTGCCTTAATGCCCCAGCAGCAGTGTGGATTCGGGGCAGCCCTGGGCCCCCGTGGTGCCCTGTCCACATGCACACAGTGGTGCTTTGTACTCCTTACCCTTCCCTCCCCACCTAATGGCAAGGACATAAACCATATCTTACTTACAAGGTGTCTTCTGACCCAAAAGTTGCCAGCATGTGGAGTTTCCTCCTTTAGAAAATAGTGGGGATCTTCATCTCCCTCTTCTAGGCTTCTGGAAGCTAGCAAGGGTGCTAGTGCAGCCTTAGATCCTGCCACAGTGCTACAGAGTTCTGTCAATGAGCCCTCTTGAAGCCTGCCTTCCCTGGAGAAATCCAGGCTTCTACAGATGGCCTGCCCACCAGCACCTTTGGGCAGTGGCCCTTGTTCTCAGTGCTCCTTTCTGCCTCATTCTTGCCAGACAACGTGCTTCTATTGCTGTACAGAGCCGTGAGTGTTCTCAGATTGTGTTCCTGGTTGGTGCAGGTGGCTGTGGGATATACTTGGCTCAGCTGACAAAGCCAAGGCTGCCCAGATTCAAACATCATATATATGGATTCCTACTGTCCTGGGAGATTCAGATGCAAAGCCAGGGTTGAGGGCCATAAAAGTACACAGACGTGAGGTTCCTTCCAGGCTTGTGGAACTGTGATTAGCACAGTGAGGACTGCTACCTACCCAGCCTTCCCCTGGCTGTGGCCAGCAGCCTGCCTCTGGAGGAAGGTGGGTTTTCTTTCACTGGGTGTGACCATAGGAAACCCTTGCAAATGAGCAGTTCTCTGTGTGTCTCAGCCCTGCAGATTTTTGGTGCCATTCTCTCTAAGGAACCTCAGGTGTGGTTAGCAACTCAGATGTCAAAAATTGAAGTGACTGTACCTCAGTGTCAGACTAGTACACTGTCTGTTCTGATCACTCCATCTGTCAGGCTGATAAAAGTTTTTCCAGGTTCACCTGCATGTTGGCAGCCAGAAACTCATCAACCCCTGGGGGTGGGTGAAGGGTGCTGAACTTGGGTGGGCGGGGGAAGGCCTGTTCACCTATACACACCATCACATGGGGAGTTCGCCTGCAGGGTTCAACAAGCCTAGTTAGGAGAAACTTAAAGATAGATTTTCATGGAGTCTTGAATCTCTAGAACCTTGGAGAATTACCTTTGGACCTTATGCAAATTGATTTAAAGCATTCTAAACATCCTTCTTAACTCCATTAGAACTAAGTGAAACCAGTTGGCCTGTTACTGGCTGTGGCCTCAGGTGATCAGGAAGTTCAGTGTTGATATGCCCAGACCCCATTCAGAACCACTTAGTCCTGAGCCCACTTTCTAGTGCTCGGCTTGTCACCCATGGAGAGCAGCTGTGCATGCTGGAAGCTTGAGGCCCCAGGTGTGGGATGAGGTGGGGGTGGCATGTAGCTTTGGCACCTAAGCATTCATGACAAAACAGCAGGGAGCTGTCAGGAGTCTTAAGTACTGAGAGCCTTGATGCTCTGCCTTGGGCTCCTCCCTGGGAAGCACCGATGTGCACCAGAACTGCCCAGATGGGGCCACTGCGACAGGTAAAAAGTGTATTTCCTACCTTGGGGGTTAGTTAGCAGGTTCTGTAGATGTCATTTTGATAAATCTTATTAAAAGTTTCCTTAAACGACATGTGTCTTCCTGGTGTGTCACCTCCCATCCAACAGCCAGTTGCCACCCCACAGGCTACTACCGTACAGCGTGCCCCTGAATGTGACCATCCACTAACTGTGTCAGAGCAGAACAGTGACCTGGGTGGATCTTGAGTGCAGGTATAGCTGGGTTCACAGGCTTTGGGGTAAATCGCCACCTTCGGTCTGACACCGCTCCTAAAGCAGAGGTGTCCGTGGGCCTCACCGTGGACAGAATGCATGTGTCATGTGCACACATGGGCAAGTGAGGTAAGTGGGTGCCCCATGCCTGGCTCTGACCCAGCCCCTCTCCTGTGTTTCCTTCGCTCTGCCGCCTTCCCCCCCAGGTGCTGAACACTGGCTCTTCCTCATGCCCTGGAGCAGTCTCACATCCTACCCGGTGTTTATTCAGCAAGAGTCAGCCATTTTTCAACTTAATAGCCCTCAGAAGCACAGGCCTGTAGGTGTGGGCGAAGTATGAGAAGTCAGCAGGACGGTTGGGCCGGCAGGGCCGAGGGGAAAATGCTATTGGTGACGAGAGCGCAAGCATATGAGGTCCCCCACCAAACATGCCCCTTTTTTGTTAAATCACATCAAAAGCCTCAACTCTGGCTCAAAAATATGGAAACGTGAGCACTGATGAAGTGACAATTTAATAGGTCTTTCTAAGACTTCCAGCAAATGACTGAAGATGGGAGGCGCCTGCTGGTCACTCAATGTATGGATGTCTAGGTGGCCAGGGCTCCCAGCCCATCCTCAGCAGTACAGCAAGAGCGACTCAGAGGAGGCCTTGCACAGGGAAGAGTGGCCCATTCACTGCTACAAGCAGGAGGAATGGCACCTTGTAGAGGGACTCCCGTGGAAGCCTCGCATTCCAAACAGGAAGCACTGACTGAGCTGAAATGAGGACTTCTCCCATGTCACTTACACTTCTGATTTGGGCTTACAGCAGTATTGAGATGTAACAGGGAAGCACTCTAGAAAATCTGATAACAGAACATGCTGTGTGTCGGTCACCTGTGGTCTCAGTACTGATTCCTGAATTTAGGTGGACTTAGGAACAGTGCCCTGTGAGCAGGCAAGCCGTCACCACAGGAGGCCTGTCACAGCCAGGTGCTGCAACCAGGGCAGGGGACTCCTCCTGGGACACACCCCCCACCACCACCTTTTATGAGCACCTCTCCTGCTTGGGGTCCATGACTCTCAAGAGCCCCATGTAAAGTGACTGCTTCAGGGAGATGTGACGGGAAGGCAGCAGCAGCAGGAATGAGAGGGAATTCTTGACATTTAGACCGCTGCCCTCACAGCCCCAGCAGCTTCCATTCTGTCCCTTCAGAGCTGGATGGTGCCATGCTGACACCAGCCCTGCCCTGCCCTGCCCATCCACTAGAGGGACCTGTGGAGCCCCTGGTGGGACATGAAGGAAATGCCGTAGGTCACTCCCAGGCCCGATCTCATTCAGAAAAACAAAAACTTTTCATGTTTGCTCCCGCCCTACTCCTCTCCTACTGCCCACTTGGACCGTGACTGGCACCCTCCACACCCCTGCCAGTCATTCCAGTGACCCCCAGGGAAAGTGTGCTTTCTCTCCACTGGGCCCTCATGTGCTGTCCCCTCTTCCCAGGGGCCCCTTTGACAACCTCTGTTTCCTGGTCTCTGGGACTCCCTGTTTAACAAAACCAGGGCAACAGGCCTGCCCATGAGGCCACGCTCCTCCAGGGCATCAGCACTGATGGGCTGACCACAGGGACCTCCACCGCTGGGCCTGATTGGCCTCCGCACTGTGGGCCCAGCTGGGCGCTGACCACAGAGCAAGCCCAGTGAAATCAGTTCCTCAGGTGAAAACGGCCAGCAGTCGAGAGTGGTCAGTAACATGGCCTTCCTGTAGGCGGGTGTTGGAAGAAACAGGAAGTCATGTTCCTGCTCCCTAAAGGCCCCCTGAGGAGGAATGGCTTCCAATTGATCCAAGCTGCTTTGCATGGCAGGTGGGTGTGTGTGCCCAAGAGTCGTGGTCCTTGTGAGCTCCCGCTGACCACAGACCTGTAACAGCCCCAGAAACAAACTCACAGATGGTGGTAAAGTTCATAAAGAAACAGAAGGTGCATGTGGAGCATGGGGGCAAAGCGAGCAGACACGTCACCTTTGCCAAGAAGTAGCATTTGTGCTTCAACCAGAAAACCAGGCACCCGTGGGAGACAGGCACCCTATGCCAGGAAGGGGCCTGGGTGGGACACAGTGTAAGACAGCACATGCCGTGAGGGGTGGGACATTGTGGCTGGGGCCAGAGGAGGAGCGGAGAGCCCAGGTGCAATGGCCTGGCCCATGTCAGAATGAGTGCAGTGTCATTCACAGGCCCAGGTTGTGGCATCTGGGGTGGCCTTGCTTGTGGGCCCTGGCTGCTCATTTCTAGTTAATGCGGAAAGCTGGAGTGATGGAGAGGGTCTGAGGAGAGGTGCTCATTGCAGACCCTTGTGCGGCAATTACTTGTGAGAAGCAGGGTCTCTGAAGCCTGCCAGCTTTTTGGTGAGTATTCTGCTTGCCTCCAACTGTCAGTGGGAGTGCCTGGTGTGGGGGGGTTAACTGAAAACTAACATCTAAATATTTCTGGGAATTTGCTTTTTTTGTGTGGTAATTTGCTTTTTAAAACAAACTCCTGGTGGAAGTTTGATTTTGTTGTCTCTTCCCCAGGAAGCTGAGCTCAAAAATAAGCCTCAGTATTTTCAGCTTGTCCTGTTTTGAGATGATGTGATGTGGTGCTGGGAAAGGAAAGTGAATCTAAGCCAAGTCCCAGAAACAGTGGCCCAGGTGGGTTTGAGTATGGACAGTGAGCACAGGTTGTGGCCCACAGAGCCCACCATGCCAGTGTGGGCCTGAGGCATGGCAAGCCAGGGCCGAGGCACCCCACAGTGAGTGGACCTGTCACACCTCAATAGCTGAGCCTGGGCTGGTAGGGACACCTAGTCCACATAGCACCATCCACCTGAACCCTGGAGCATCCATGATCCTCTGACCTCAACCTCCCACTTCCCCCATGAGCATCAGGAAAACTAGAAGTGGGGGCAGACCTGAAAGTTCAGACCAGGGCTAACCAGTAGCATTGGTATTTTCTAACACCTGATTAAGCCAGGAGCAGTGGCACTTGCCTTTAATCCCAGTGGCTTGGGAGGCTGAGACAGGAGGATTGTGAGTTCAAAGCCAGCCTCAGCAACAGCAAGACACTAAGGAACTCAGTGAGACCCTGTCTTTAAATAAAATTAGAGATGGGGATGTGGCTCAGTGGTTGAATGATCCTGAGTTCAATCCCCAGTACCAAAAAAAAAAAAAAAAGAACTCTGATTAGCATGAATTTGGACTAACAGTGTTCACCAAAGGGCTATATAAACCCCTAGTTCAAATGTCAACCTACTATCTGGTCCCCTGTTTCCCTGCAAGAGTTCTGTGTCTTGTCTTCCCACTAGAATAAATCCTGCTCCTTTCACTCTTGTCTTCCATTGTCTGTGAATTTCATTCTTCTGATTTGCAAGACAAGACCCTGGAAAGAAGTTAGCAGTGAGCTTCTGGGGTCTGCTGTGACACTGGAGGGAAAAAAAACCCCAGTAAGAGCTGCAACATGCAACTCAGGGGTGGAAAAGAATCGGGCTTTGCTGGCTGCTGACTCCAGCAGGCATCCCCAGGAGTGTTTAGCGGCTAACACTAACATGGGCTTTCTCAGCTGCAGAGGCCTGTGACTTAGGCAGACCCCACCAACCAGCAAAAGCATAGAATCTGGTTTCATCTCAAACTCGTTTCAAAACGACAGTTGTCCATCCCCACTGGTTGTCTGCATTTATTCTACCAGCTTTCAAAAGCCGAGCTCCTCTTATAGTAAGGCGGGAATTTCCTTGATTACTTGGAAATACTCTTTGGCAGCCTGTTGTTCTAAGGGTTGTCATTTGCTCTTTCCTTGGGTTTCACTGAAACCAGGTCCCTCTGTGTGCAGTTCCCCCCTCCTCCACCTTCAGGATCAGGCTCATGTGCTCACAGAAGACCGCAGTTCCTTCCAGCCTGTGTCCTTCCAGCCTGGCTGGAGCTGCTCCAGGGGAGCCGCAGAGAAAGCGACCTCCATCCTGCAGATCTGAGCACGTCCTCAGGAAACCCTGCTGCTCCATCCACTGGGTGGCGGCATCCTTCCTGGGGATTCACCCTCTTTCTAGAAGCAAGTCCACAGAGCCGCAGCACCCCGGGCTCTGTTGTGGTTGGCACCTAAGAGCACTGCCACCCACCCCATGTTCCTTGGGGAGCTTCCTGGTGATATCAGGAACTGGCTCAGTGCTGGAGTGCAACCCCCAGATGCCTGTGCCGCCCCCGCTCTGCTTCCTGCTCAGACACATCCAGTTTGCTTTCTTCCCTAAGGAGCCTGTGGAATATGGTGGGGAAACGAAGAAGCTCCCTCTGGGGCAAAGGAGCCTGAATTTGGTTCCACCACCACTGAGGCTTGGGCAGGTCACCAAGCTGCATCTCAGCCTCCACAGCCACAGAGCAGATGTCAACAATGACATCTGCCACTGCTGTTTTGAGAATTGAGGGTGATGGGCATGCAATATCCCCTGGTCCTCAGTGGGACCGCTAAGAGGTGGAAGATCAGCAGCTGATCCTTCTGAGGCCTGGCTGTCCCTGCCCCTTGGGTCTGGAGAGTGGCTAGTCTTAGCATTGTGTGTGAACCTTCTGAACATGGGCACATCCTTGGAATGTTCTAGCATCCCATTTGACCTTGGAGGGACTCTAAATTTGAACACAGCCCCACCATTAGTTTCTTGACTCAGCCAGTGCTTGTCTGTGCTTTAAGCCCTCTGGAGAGTTCTTTCATCACAGAGGGGTCTGTATCAGATGTCCCATGGGCTGGCTCACAGGACGGCACCCCTTTTCAGACTCTGCCCTGGAAATGGGGTGCAGAGCTACACTAGCTCTCCTGCTCTATGAGGGTTCCCACCACGGGCAGGAGTGAAATGCTTCTCCCCTCCTTGGATGGCGAGTCTGGGCTTTGGGTAGAAAGAGGGATCTGCTCCCTCTGTCTAGGGCCCCTCCAACTTGGCCCCTGGTCAAAGCCTGGGGAAGGGCGTGTGCAGCCAGGGGCTAGATGTTCTATGGAAGTGACATGTCATGACCCTGAGCCTGAAAAGGAACATGTGGACCCAGGGCTCGATGTCCTAGTGACACAGGTGACGTGTCATGACCCCAAACTACTTAGTTCCTCTCAAGCGCCTCCAGCTTGACCAAGACGTGCCAGGCTCTTGGAGGATCTGTCAACCTGTCCTCATGCACCCCAGGGACCCCTGACAGAGCAGGTGAGGAGCAGCTGAGTCAGCTTGTGCGTTTCTTTGACATTTTAGATGCCATGGCCCCGGGACCCTGCAGACCACACCTGTCAACACCACAGCTGCGACATCTCCAGCTCGAGTTTAGGAAGGTCCGTGAGCCCCACTTGGCTCCTCCTCTCCTTACCCTCCTCCCGTGGTGACTGTCCCATTACCCTTCGCCTGTCAAGGACAGAACCTGGGCCAGCGTATGAGGAGGGAAACATGGCAGAGGAAGCTGCTTTTCAAAACGTCCTCCTGACACCAGTCTTCAAAAGCCTCTGGGTGAAGCTTCTGGCTTTAGTGGTTTACTGCCTCCCACCTCCATGTGCCCCCTTGGGACTCATGACAGTTAGGAGCCAAAGGCCAGGGGTGGATGACCCTGATGGCCTCCTGCCCTCCGTCCACACCTGGCTATTTGTTACCCTCATTGAATCTTCCGCCACTCCAGTAACTCACCTCTTGCAGAGGACAGAAGAGTGGCCTCAGGTAAGACCATGTGGCCGTCATGATAGTGAAACCCAGGCCACCAACACCGACCAGGGCCAGCTTCTCACGAATGGCCACAATGTTATTTCCCCAAGTGGTACGTCCTTCCAGAAACTTGCCACACCTCCATTCAGAGGTGGCGTCTGTGTCCCTCCCAGGGACCTGCAGGGGCCTCAGTGACTGCCCAGCAGGGTGAGGCTCTGACATGAGGCTTAGGAAGGCCACAGCTACCCAGGGAGCCTGGGCCTGATGGAGGACTCCCAGGGCCTGGGCGTCGAGGCCCAGCTGTGCTCCTTGCTCGAAGACACGGGCAGCTGTATGAGCCGTAGCGTGAGTCCCTTCATCTCATTGCAAGGACAACCTGGACCATGGGACACCTGTATGAGATGGCAAGAATGGCCTGGGGGCCTGGGGAGGGTGCCGATACTGCGTCAGAGGTGTGACTTTGCTTCCAGGCTCAGATGACCTTAACCCTTTGCATTTTTCTGGGCCTGGGACTTGCCTTTTGCCCCACAGTAGTGTCACAGTCACAAGGCAGCTTCAGCCTCCCTCTAGGTCTATATTTGTAGTTTTTTCTCAGAAACAATTCGAAACTGTCTAAGCTTCCTGTTCTTGCCTCTTTCCAGTGAGGGAAAAGCTGGGACTCCACCTGCTTCACTCTGCAGGATCCTACTATCTCAGGCTGGGACATTTGATAGTGATAAAAAGGTCACTTTGAGGGGGTGGGAATCAAATGAGGCAGGAGGACAGATTCAAGGCAAGGCCAGCCTTAGCAACTTAGAAAGACCTTAAGCAATTTAGTGAGGCCCCATCTCAAATAAAATAGGGCTTGGGATGTGGCTCAGTGGTTAAGCACCCTTGAGTTCAATCCCTGGGACCAAAAAATGAAAGGGTCACAGACAATGCCACGTGTGGACGGTGTCCTAACTGCTCTCAGGAATGGGATAGAACTCAGCCAAAAAGATGTCACTGAAGACATGAGCTGCACCCTGCTGGCACCAGCACAGGCACCTGATGGCCTAGTACAAACTGACCCCACATGGCACCACTGCGGCCTAGTGCCCACTGACAGCACAGCCACCTTGGTCAGAAAACAGTCCCAAGAATGGGGCTGCAGTGTGTTTTCACCACTGAGTGACAGCAGGCGACCTCAGGGGATAAGGAGGCTCCACCCTCCTGCCCCTTAAACTTGTAGGTTAGACACCTGCCTTCCCGCAGTGTGGGTCCAAAAGGACAGACCCCCGTGAGTCTCAAGTTCAGAGACAAAACAAAACCCCATGGCTCCACTTTGAGGGGACCCTGGAGCCCAGTTAGCAGCAGCACAGCCCATGTCCCAGGGTCACCACTGGCCTGGATAACTTTTCAAGCTCTAGCTGGAAGTAACCAGAGGGAGCAGCAGGCCCAAAGCCCAGCCTGCAGGGAGAAGGCAAGCGCACAGCTCCCCCCTGGCCCTCAGACCACGGTGGCGCCCAGGAGAGGGGCGGGGTGCTCCCCAGGCTGCCATGGGGGCCCTGGGACCAGGCTGTGCTTTGCGGTAAGCAGTGGGCACAGGGACCCAAGGAGCCAGCTAGAAGCAGCCTCCTCATTCTGAGGGCTTCTGTTAGCGCTGCTGGGCTCACCATGCCCTTGGTGGCTGGACAGCAGTGGTCAGTTGGTGTCCTGGGGAGAGACGCCAGGCGCTGACTTTTCTGCAGGGGACAGGCCATCTTGCTGCACTAACTACCCCCCTCCCAGCGGCAGGGGGAGGACTCGGCCTTGGGGAGTCTGCGTGTGCTCAGCCGCCGCCTCAGGGAGGAGAGCTTGTCCCCCAGGGCCTTGCGCAGCCCTGCACTGTCCCTGACACAGGGCAGGTCTTGCCTGGTAGCCGGGAGTTGCCCTGTGAACATCTCCCACCGGTCCAGGGCATCCACGGCCCTGTCCACCTGCGCGAGCTCCTCCTCGGCCACTTCCCGTTCCAGGGCCTGGATACATGTGGCCAGCCACCGTCCGTGCTCCTTGATGGCCTCCACAGGGCCCTCAAGCTTCGGCAGAGCCTCTGAGGCCACCAGGGAGCTCTGCCCATCCTCGGGTCCCTCAGGGAAGGCATGACTCCATGCGTCAGGGGTGAGGGGCTCTGATAGGCTGGTGACAGGCTCTGAGTCGCTCTCACAGCACATGCCAGAGTCTGCGCTGAAGGGTGGGGTGTCCTCCGACATAGATGGCTCTCCTGCCTCCTGGCAGGGCCACGAACCTGCTGCTGCCTGGGTCCAGGCGAGGAGTCTCTGCGAGGGAGAAACGGGCTGAGTTCTCTCTGGTGGGCACTTGTCTGGCCAGCGAGCAGCCTGAGGACCCAGCTGCATTCAGTCACCTTGAGGCCCGTGGCAAGCTGATGCCACCTGGGCCCTGCTGCCCAGCACTGCTGGGGACTGGAGTCCAGGCTGTGCCACAGCCAGACGTTCCAGGTCCCAGGAGCCTGCTGTTCACGTTTCAGGAACTGGGCACCTCATGCTAACCCAGCCCTTCCTCAAAGCTGATGATTAAAGTCAGAAAATGTTAAGGCAAAAGAAACACTCAAAACACATCACCCCTAAATGTTTCACCATGGCCTCCCATTACCTGTGCTCCTGAGGTCCCCTGTGTGTGCCATGTCTGCAGGATGGGCGTCACAATGAGCAGCACTTTCCAGCTCTGCTCAGTCAATCAGTGGACACTGGCCGGCACCACAAAGCTGGGCTTTTTCTTTGAGCAGAGACACTGGCCCTGGGTGGCTCCATGGCTCTTAGAGTCCTTGGGCCATCCCAGGACATGTGGGAAATCTCCTGCATAGCTCCCCACCTACTACAGTCATTGGCCCACCAGGTCCCTGAGCCTTGTCCTGAGAGGGGACTGGCTGCCCCCAATGGCCCAGCCATTTCAGGGAGCACCATGGGAGGAGAGGCTGCACCCACCACCTCAGCCCTCAGAGCTCACCCAGGGTCTGTTGAACACCACACCCCCGCCCTCAACTGGGTAAAGTTCTAAAAGTTCCCATCAGATGGTTGAATGAGCCCCAGATGAAGGACACAAGTAAGAAATCAAATCCTTTCACAGCCAGAGCTGTCTTCAATTCCCATTTCTCAGCCTCACCAGGACAATAAGAGCTGCCTCCAACCAAGCCCTTTGCCTGTGCCCCCGTGACTGGGCAGCTGGCCCATGCAGGGTGTCTCCACAAGTGACAACCACACCAGCTGCCCTGTTCTGCAGCGACACAGGCTCCTGGCTCCCCACTAGGGAAGAGCTGTCCCTCTGCTCCCAGGGGAGTCAGTGCTATAATCTGAAAAGACCTGGCCTCTACTTCAGGCCTCCAGCATCACAGGGGACTGTTCTAATGCATCTAGGTGAGAACCCCATCCCACCAGGGAATTGTGACACCAGGGCAGGCTGAGAGCCACTACCCTGCCAGAAACTTGCATGAGGAAGGGGCTCCCCAGAACCATAAGAGTCCGGCCTTAAACCCAGTGAAGTTCTGACAAGTTTTTGTTTTCAAGTTGATAGGTCCTGTGCCTCCATCATAAATTTGTTTTCAGCCAGAAGTGGATTTAAAGAGAAATAGATCCAAGTTTCTGAGTTTGCAAACAAATCTCTCTATGGGAATAAAAAGGGGGACCGAGCTCCATGGCTATGCCATATGCTGCCAGCAGAGAGCAGTATCCCCTTCCCAGCACTGCCAGGAGGCAGGAGCACCTGTCCTGGACTGGGTTGGTCTGGTTCCCTCCTCCTTTCAGGGTTGGTGACCTGCCCTCCAGCCAAAGTGCAGGGTGCTCCCACTTGTCAGGTACCAGCCAAAGACTCAATCTGCCACCAAGGAGATCTGTGAGTCCCAGAGGAGCAGGACACAGCACAGGTCCTCTGCCTGTGTGTGGCTTCCCCCGGGCCAAATCAGGAGCCAGGGCAGCGCTCACCTTGTACCTCTCAGCGAGCCGGAAACCCAGGACGTGCTGCAGCTTCCTCAGGCAGATGGGGCAGAGGTCTGGGGGCCGCTGCAGGGCTTCATCCAGACTGAGCGCCCCTTGCATGAGGCAGCGGAGCCAGCGGCAGCTCCCCAGGCCCAGGAGGTGGCAGAGTTCATGGCATGTGACCTGAGGGGGAAGGCCACCATCCTTGTCTCACAACCCTGCCCTCTACCTACAGACCCCCAACCCCTGGTGAGGACAGACTGCTGGCAAATGGTCCAAGCACACCTTCCCCTCTGGGGGCTCAGGGGAAGCCACACAGCATGAGGGCTTGGGAGCCAGGTAGATCATAGGTCAGATCCCAGCCGTCCCCCAGAGCTATGTGGCCTTTGGCAAAACACTTGGCATCTCTGAGCCTCGATTTCCTCACTCCGTAAAGTGAGGGACTGACCTCTTCCTGGAGAGAACTGGACAATATAACTGGCCAGGCAGAAGGCTCAGCCAGAGCCCACTATGACCTTCCTCTGAGGACACATCCATAGCTGCCCAGCCACCCACCCTCTTCCTGTCCCCCATGCCTACCTTGCAGCACTGTACCACCCCCAGGGCACTGAAGCAATGGCTCCTGCCTGTGTCCTGCAGCGGGGTCTCAGGGCCATTTGCTGCCTCCTCAAGCAGACCTGGATCAAGGTCATTGGGCCCCACCTGAGAGAATTTCCCTGAGAACCGGGCGAAGCTGCAGACTCCCACATCTGGGGAGAGGGAAGGACAAGGGGACTCAGTGGGCAGCCTCAGCTTCAGGGAGCCTGGACTGAAAGCAGCCCATCCTCTCTTGCAACCCAGGCATGGCCTGAGCATGAGCCAGTCCTGGGAGACCCTGCCCTGCCATTATGCCCACATGAAGGCCGGCCCTGAGGCAGCAGCCAAGCCAGCCTCTTGCCCAGGAATAGCAAAAATGTGGGGGAATCAAGATCATGCAGCTATTTCCACAGGTGTGTGTCACCCTCCCCTGGGGCAAGAGCACATGCCAGGCTCCCTCTAGGTGGAAACTGCAGGGCCCCAGCTCACCATGCCCTGGGAGGGACTTGCTGAAGGTGAAGCTCCAGGTCTCGTGGGGGTACAGGTCAGAAAGCGTGAGGCCTAGCACACACAGTGCGTCATCTGGCTTGTTGTTCTTCAAAAAGGACAGGATACCATCTAGGAGGAGAGTGCTGGGGGTCAGGAGGTGGCTAGGGACCCATCTCCAGCCCCTGCTCAGGGCAGGCTAATAGATATGGAAATGGAGACATTATTCTGTATTAACTAGAAGGTCAAGGTCAGAATGAGAGACCTGAGCTGCAGTACTATTTTGGAGGACAGAGGAAGAGGCCACAAGCCAATGAATGCAGACATCCCTGGAAACTGGAAAAAGTGGATAGATTCTCCCCAGAGCCTGAGGAGGAACGCAGCCCGCCCACACCTTGACCTCCACGCAGGGAGACTCCTAACCCACAAAACTGTAAGACCAGTTGTGTGGTCATCAGTTACAGCAGTGATAGGGACCAACACTCCCCAGGAGTGTGGGCATGGGCAGGGCTGTGGAAGCCAGGACACAGTCAATGAGGGGCCCAAGGGAGGGAGAGGGAGGGCCCAGCCAGGTCCCAGGAAACCAGGAGAGTCTCTAGTGACTGAAGAGGGAAGAGAGGGCAGGGAAAGGGAGGGGGAAGGCCACCATAGAGAAAGTGCTTTCTGAGGAGCAGGGAGGCAAGGTGGTGGTGGGAGGGGCATCTCCACAGAGGCTGAGTGTGACCTTGACCAGGAGCCAGGCAGGGGAAGCCAGGTGAGAGAAATGCTGCAGGTGGGGAGCCGTAGGGAAGGAGGGGCAGAGTCGCCTCTGATTGTGTCTCCTCAGTGGAAAGAGTCAAGAAGGAGGGGGAAGAGCAGTGAGCACTTCTGGGCACCACTGAGGGCCCTGGCCCTGCATCTCAGGGAGCCCACCAGCACATCCCATCGTGGGTGGAGGTTCAAGCAGGGGTGGACCATGCAGGGAGAGGAAGGAGATGCGGGAGAGGAAATGGGAACCAGGAATTCTAAGCTTAGGAAGGGACTCAAGAAACAAGAGGTAGATCAGGGGGTGAGGAAGGAACTAGAGACACGGGCAGAAGATGCTGGAGGAGGCCATAGGGGGACACGCTCTGGCTTATGGAGATGATATAGCACATCATTGTCAGTGGAAATACAGCCTGAGCTATACATATAACTTTAAATTTCCCAAAAGTAAAAAAGAAAAGAGAACAAATTGATTTTAACAATATGTTTGATTTAACTTATTATATCCAAAATATTTTCTTACTCAAATTTTTTTTTTATAATTTAGGATTGAACCCAGAATACTCAACCACCAAGACACATTCCCAGCCTTCTTATTTTTTATTTAGAGACAGGATCTTTTTATTTTATTTTTTTTAAATATTTTTAATTTAGTTGTACACAACACGTTTATTTTGTTTATTTATTTTCACGTGGTGCTGAGGCTCGAATCCAGGGCCTCTTGCATGCTGGGCCAGCACTCTACCGCTGAGCCACAACCCCAGCCCTAGAGACAGGATTTTGTTAAGTTGCTTAGGGCCTCACTAACTTGCTGAGACTGGCTTTGAACCTGCCATCCTCCTGCCTCAGCTCCAGAGCCATTGGGATTACGGGCAAGCACCTGTAATCTACACTGCACCCAGCTACACACATACTCAAAATTTTTTAATTACGCTTTTGTTTGTTTTGATGCAACTGAGGATTGAACCCAGGGGCTCTTTACCACTGAGCCATATCCAGGCCATTTTTATTTTTTATATAGAGACAAGGTCTTTCTAAATTACTTAGGGCCTCACTAAGTTGCTGACGCCAGCCTTGAACTTCCCATCCAGCTCCGGTGCCTGAAAGCTTCAGCCTGTAATCCCAGCTACTCCAGAGGCTGAGGCAGGAGGATCACAAGTGCAAACCCAGCATGAGACCCTGTTTCCAAAAAAAAAAAAAAAAAATTTAAAGGACTGGGGATGTAAATCAGTGGGTAAGTGCCCCTGGGTTCAATCTCCCTTACCACAATAAAATAAATAAAAAGAAGAGTAAACTAATTTGTCAAACAAAATGTCCAACAATCAAAATAACAAGGTGCACCAGGAGCAAGATAACAGATTTGGCAGAACCAACCAACACAGCCAGCTGGGCCCTAGGCAGATGCTGTGAGCTGCTGTCAGGGGACAGGAACCCTGCATCCAACCACAAAAAGAAAGAATCCACTGGAAGCTACAGAACTGCCACTCAGGGTGACAGAATGAGGACTGGTGTGGTGAGGGGCACTTCAGACCCTGATGCAGAGAGTGCTGGAGGTGAGTGAATGGAAGTATGAAGGCTGGACAGAAATCTCAGCAGCAAGAGGGGAGCCCGTGGCAGTGTGGGCCACAGGCCAGTGAAGAAAGCCCGTGCTGAGCAGTTCCCAGAACATGAACAACACTGATCCACTCTTGCCAGAGAGCACCTGCTTGGGAACCTCCCTGGGCTTGTGTCTAAGTCTCCTGTCCACTCAGGCCTCATTCCTCGGCTGGCCTCACTCTCCAAAGGCCAACAACCTGCAGGCACAGATAGGGCCTCAAGGACCGGGTCATCTGGCCACAGGAAGGCCCTTGCAAAGTGAATGTCTGGAGCAAAGCTGAGCAGCTTTCAAAGGGTGCCCCTCACCTGCTCTGCATCCCAGGGAACACTCTGGGAGTGGGCCCTGAGCTGTGGGGCCAACTCCATAGACTGCTGGGTAGGAAGAGGAACTCCTTATTCCCATTCTGTCCAAAAGGTGGGGAAAACTGATGCCCCACAGAAGAGCAAACAAGTTCCTTCTGTCTCTGGAGCTCCTTCCTCCCCTTTTCTTTCCAGAATCGGCCTTTTGCTACACAGTGGGATGGGGTCTCGCTGGCCCTGCCCTGGTCTGGGCTCCGCCCCCAGCCTGGCTCACCTGTGTGGAGCTGCCGCTCACCAGAGTCCTGACTGGGGCGCGAGGAGCAACGGATGGACGCAGCCGCTATAGAGGGCAGGCACTTGACCCGCAAGCCCAAGAAGAAGGCCTCCACGCAGCTCCGCAGGTGGTCCAGCAGGGGGCATCCTGCCAGCTCCTCGCTCAGATCTGGGGGCAGAGCAGCTGGTCAGCCCCACTGTGCCCCCAAAGCATCAGGGAGCTGCCACCAACACTGGCCATCTGGGCAAACAAGGCCAGTGCCCAGACAAGAGGCCAGGAAACCTGGCATTGTGGTGCAAAGACTGAGATAGGAGGATTCCAAGTTCAAGGCCAGACTGTGTCAAAATAAAGAATAAAAAGGGCTGGGATGTAGCTCAGTGGTAATCATCCCTGGATTCAATCCCCACTATCAAAAAAAAACAGGGCTGGGGCTGGGGCTCAGCAGTAGAGCGCTCGCCTCTCACGTGCGAGGTCCTGGGTTCGATCCTCAGCACCACATAAAAATAAATAAATACAATAAAGGAATTGTGTCCAACTACAACTAAAAAATAAAATATTAAAAAAACAACAACAAAGGACAGGAATCACTGTCACACATGAAACTCAGGGAGGCAGGGACTTCTACAATGCTGCTAGAAGCCCATAAACTGACCAGGAGAGGCCCCCTAGCAGCGGGTGGCAGAAGCAAGCATGTTCCTCAGCTGCAAAAAGTCAGCCTGGTTGAAACAGGAGTGTAGGCTCACGCTGGAAAGCAAGAGCTTGGCAGGGCAGGGGGGGACACCACCAGATGGCATGCTAGGAGGACAGATAGACACAACCAAGGGTGGAGGCCATGGGAATGGTTGCGAGGTCTCCAGACCTTAGTCTCAGCCTGGACCTGGTAGAAATTCAGGACCCAGGCCCACCCCAGACCTCCCGCCCATCTTGGCAAGGTGCCATGTGTCCACATGTCAGGTAAGAGGCTCCCAGAGGTATAAGCAGGACACATAAAAAGGGTCTGGCCCCGCAGGGTCAAGAACAGAGTCTCAGATGTGGGATTATGTAGAGCAAGACCCCTGAAGCCTCCAGCACGCTGATCCTGAGCATCTGGGAGGGGGCTAGCATGGACCCCCAGGGGCTGTCAACTAGCCTGCTGAGGGCAAGGCCAGTAGAAGCCCAGCCTTCCTCTGGCTGGCTGCGCGGAAGGGTGTGACACACCAACACCTCAGACAGAAGCTTGACATTCCTCTCCAAAGCCAAGTGCCACTTATGCCAGGCTGAGGCCATCTGCCTTGGAATGCTGACAGCACAGTGGCCGGCCCACCTCTGACCCTCCCCATTACCTGGCTGGGCTATTCTCTCGCCCCTCAGATCACCCTGTGTCCCCCAATCTCTTGACAAATGAAGAGCCCTGGAAGACAGCAGCCATGCCGGGGGTCCCTGAGTCCTGCTCCCCATGCCCACCTGAGGGTGGGATGGTCCCACGGCTCCAGGCTTTCTGACCAGTGTCAAAGATGAGTGGGGGAAGACAGGGCCTCCCTGCCTCACCCCAATTCCGAACACACCCAATGCCACCAGCCCTAATTCCAGCCCTGCTTGGGGCTGTGCCCAAGCTGGTTCCCTGGCTCCAGCCCCCTCCCTGTACCTATTGGTTGCAGGTAAATGTGCTTCCGAGCCAGGCTCTGCTTCCGGTGCTGCAGGGAGGTGTGGAACGTCTGGAAGTCCTCAGGGGCCTCGGGGTGGCTCAGCAGCCAGTCAAAGGCCGAGTGGATGAGCAGTGTGCAAAAGAGGGTCCTCTGGGGATTGTAGGCCTCGGACAGGAACAGCCTCTCTGCCGGGGTGAAGGCCGAGGCGTAGAGCTGCTGCAGGCCGGCGTCACTGGAGACCAGCGCATCCTTCAGGGCCCGAGGGCCGAAGCTGAACTCCTGGGCCTGTCTACACTGCAGCATGGTAGCCACACCCAGGAACTCCTGTTGCTGCCCATGAACTGCCCAGGAGACAATCACCGTCTCTTCTAGAATCTTCCCTTGAACTGACAGAAGTGGCTGCCAGGGGTTCCCAGCAGAAGGATGCTGGGCCAAGAGCCTGCGTGGCCCAGCCCTGCCTGGAAGTGCACCTCCTTAGCAAAGCATGGGCACCTCCAGGCCTGCGGACACCCTACAGGGGACATAGAGCATGCCGCCGTCACAACTAGGCACACACAGGCCTGCTGTGTCAGGCACAGGGGAGCCCTACAGAGCCCCTGGATGCAGCACTTCCCCGCAACCAGGAACAGAGGGCACTCTTCTCTTTGTCCTTCGGGTAGACTGGGTAAATCTCCCTAGGCATCCAGGCCTCACACTCTGCTGGAATCCCCATGAAGGGCAGGGACCCATTCCTTGTCATACACCCAAACTGTGTCCTGAGCCCTTAGAAAGAAGGGGGTGCATACCTGTAATCCCAGAAGCTCAGGAGGCTGAGGCAGGAGGATCACAGGTTCAAAGTCAGCCTCAGCAACTTAGCAAGGCCCTAAGCAACTCAGCAAGACCCTGTCTCTAAATAAAAAATTAAAAGGGCTGGGGATGTGGCTCAGTGCTTAAATGCCCCTGGGTTCAATCCCCAGTACAAAATAAATAAATAAATAAATAAAAGAAGGAAGGGGTGTATAGGAAGAGACCCCACCCTTTGTGCTGAGCCCCTACAAAGCCAGAGGGGCCCCTCCATGCAAGAAACTGGAAGCTACTCTCTTTGTGATCCCTTGGGGCCATAACTGCACTTCTCTTTAACCCAACCATAAGCTTCCAGGCCAGAACCGTGGGTGTCCCCAGGAAGCACATGGAGGAGGAAGGCAGCACCAGTGGCTCCCCACCCAGAAGTGTCCAGGGCACACACAAGGGGTATGGAACACAAATTAGGAGGTCAAGGGCAGCTGCCAACCACTGCAAGCTAAATAGGGAGTTTCAGAGAAGCAAGGAACGGATCTGAACTACGGGGACAGCCTGGCGGGGAGAAGAGACAAGCAGGCCGACTGTGACACCTGCTCTGTCCTTCTGAGCCAGGAAAAAGGACTGGCGCAGCCATGTATTTGTCAGAAACACACCTGAAAAGCTGTCAGTAAGCCCTTGACTCTGGCTACCAGCTGCTTTGGGCCTTCCTTGATGTCTTGGTGCAGCAACTGACGCAGCAAAGGCAGGTAGGGGACAGGCTGGGTGGGGGACCCTTATGGAACAGTAATAAAAGGACGGACAGGGATGAGGGGAACCAGAGGCCAGGGATGAGAAGATATACAAGTCACAGCAGAGAGCCCCAGGGGGACAAGGACTGAAGGTGGGACAGCCCCGGGCCAGCCTCAACTCAGGAAGTTCAGACACAAAACCCACTTCTCTGCAGAGCACCAAGTGCGGGGCCTCCAGCCCCACTTGGAAACCAGAAGGGGGCTCCTTTTTGTATGAGAACGAGGACTCCACACTCTCTTTAACCCAATTTAAAGCATTCATCTGAAAAATATATTTATAGCTACTCAAACACTTAGGTTTGAGCAGAAAGTCTGGGGTACACACTTTATAAATCTTCCTTGGAAGGAAACATACACAGATGTATATAATGCATGCACATATAAGTCCATAAATGTGATTTTTTTTTCCAGAGGAAAGCACTATCTTAAAGGAAGGACCCTTCCAGGATTAATTTCCATCAAGATCCTTCCCACACCAAGCTTTATATAGTTTCTCTCCATGTATATTTAACAAACTGAAGTTCCAACTGTATAATCTTATATCTTTTACTTAGTACTTATGGCATTATCCCAGAGTTTTAAATATTCTATAAAAATGCCATTTTCAATGGCTGCCCCCCAAACACCAGAATGCCCGTCTTTGCTCACGAGTCTGTTTCCTTCTCCTCCAGATGGATTCCTAGAGGGGTTTCCATGTGCCGGGGTTTAAAGCATCTTGCTTTTTGTATTGCCAAGTCGCTTCCCAGAAGGGGTACGCTAGTTGACATTCCCGCCAGCCCTCAAAGTTCTGAGTAGAGAGCAACAAATAAAATAACTGCCCAGGGCACAAACCCCTCTGGGTTCCTAGCAGGGCTTTGCATTAGTGCCCAAGGATGTGGGTACTGGGTTCAGGGGGGTGAAAAGGTGGAGCCAAGCTGAGCCACAGCACTCACGAGAATCAGGTGCAATCAGAACACATAGATCCCGTGCCGGAACACCCCTACCCCATGCCCACTGACAGACTCCAGGACAGTTCTAGCTCCTGTGCCCATTCAGGACACGTAGGCAATACTGGTGTTTTGCAACACAATGAACAATTCACTCCTGGGTGTAGGAAAAAAAAAATCCACCAGGTGAATGAATGAGGGAGAAGTTCAAACCCATGGCAATGAGAAGAGCCTAGTGGGCAAGTTTCCCAGGGGCCAGGGGTGTGCAAGGAAGAACACCAAGGAATTGAATTTCCACTGGCTCCCTCCCTTTGGAAGACGACCCAAGTCACTCAGAAGCAGCCAAGAGACTCATGAGTTTCCAAAAGAGGCCATGCTGATCCCAGCGCAGGAGCACATGTGAATTTATCAGTTCATCAATTCATCCTTCCAACAGTTGTACTAGTCAGGGTCTCCAGGGCAACAGAAGCAATAGGAGGGAAGCATTTTATAGGTGTGTTTATAAAATGTGTTATTTGTTTATTTATTGTTGTGGCGCTGGAGATGGAATCCATGGGTGCTCTACCACTGAGCTCCACCCCTAGCCCTTTTTTATTTGAGTCAGGGATCTCGTTAAGTTGCTTAGAGCCCCAATAAGTTGCTGAAGCTGGCCTTGAACTTGCAAACCTCAGCCTCAACCTTCCAAGTCACTACCATGACAGTTGCCACCAGGCCCAGCTAAGATATATTAGGAGGAATTGGCTCTGTGATTAAGGAGGCTAAGAAGGCCCATGAGCTGTCTCTAGCAGGTTGGGACCAAGGGAAGGAAGCAGTAAATTTCTGTCCACAGGTCCCAGTTCAAGGGCAGGAGAAGGGGAGAAATCCCAGCTCAGGCACAAAAGAGAGTGGATCCCTCCTTCTCTGCCCTTTGCTGTATTCCCACCCTCAAGGGACTGAAAGGTGCCCAGTACATTGGAGAGAACAGTCTGCTTTACAGAGCCCAAGACCCTACTGCTGATGTCACCGGAAACACTCGACAGACACACCCACAGTGCCTCACCTGCCTAAGTGAGACAGCCCAGTCACAGCCCAGTCAAGTGGTCACAGAATATTAACTGCTGCAGTTTCCAAGTGCCGCAGGCCCTTTGTTAGAACAAAACAGTCAGGTTGGTCTCAAGGGGCTTGGAGAGGCAGGACAGGTGGCAAAAGCATTGAAGGTAAATATTGTTGCACGTCAGTTAGAAGGTGGCAAATGATACTGGAAGGAGAAAAGGCAGAACTGGGTGGGAGTCAGGAGTGCCGGACCCCGTGGCCATTTCCAAGACGGCTTGAAAGTGGCTTCGTCAGAAGGGAAGAAGTGGGGAGGGAGTCTGCTACTTCCCAGGAGGGGCATGGAGGGTGTCCCAAGCCGAGAGAGCAGCTAGGAAGCCTACCCTCTGCCAACAGGCAGATGTGTTCTGGGGACAGGAGGAGGCTGGCCATCTGGCTGCAGTGCACAACGGGAAGAACAGGGGACAAAGTCAGGGAGGGATGGCCACATTGTGCAGGAACTCTGACCTTGGTCTGGAGGAAGTGGAGAAGGCTGTGGGATTTGAGAAGGGGCTCTAGGAGTCTGCCTTGTCCCCAGGCTTAGCCAGATGTCAGGGAGTATGGAGACAGCACCCCAGCAAGCCTCAGTGGGCAGTCAGTGGGCTATGAGTCAGGGACCCCAGGAGACTGAGCAGAAAACCCTGGAAGCCAAATGCCCTCAACCCCAGCTGGGGTTCTGGCATGAACTTGGTCATCTGACCTTTAACCCCACCGTGCCTCAGTTTCCCCCCAGACATGGTATCTCCTGCCTTCCCTGCCCAGAGCTTGGTTGGACCCAACAGAAGGGAGGGTTCCCAGCTCTGTGAGCAGCAAGATGTATCGAGCACCTGACTCCTTCGGCATCTCACCAGCCTATTTTGGTTTCTGGATGCCGGTCACAGGACCTGCCTACAAGTGCCCCACTTGCCCTAGTCCTTCCTAACGCTCACAAACACCTACACCCCCACTCTGGAGCCAGAAGCAGTGCCACTCACCTACTTCTGAATTATTCCCTTAATGGCTCCACGTTGAGCATGAAAGTGTGACCCCCCATGTCACTCTCTCTGAGACCCTGTACCCAGATCTCAAGAGGCCTGTGCAGCCTCATTCATCTTCCCCACCCTCAGCTGCCACCAAAGGCCTCGGGCTCTGAGACCCTGTACCCAGATCTCAAGAGGCCTGTGCAGCCTCATTCATCTTCCCCACCCTCAGCTGCCACCAAAGGCCTCGGGCCCTGCCAGGTCATTTCTGCACAAGACAAGTCCTCGCACAGAGCCCGAAGCTGGAGGTGAAGATTATCCCTGGAGCCAGAGGTGCCTGTGGGGAGGAAGCTCTCCATCTCTCTCTGCTACCTGCCAATCCATCATCTTGGCCACAGTGATGGCTCCGAAAGAGAGACCTCCAAAACTGGGCCCTAGCCATGGCCTGGGCCCTCTCCTACTAATTATCATCAGGACAGTAGCCGCCATGTACCAAGGTCAGCCACCACCTGCTGCGCCACCTGCATCACTCAATCCTCAGGACCTCACAGAGCTGCAGGTGCCACTGTATTTCAGATGGGGAAACTGATGCTCAGAGACATGAAGTGACTTAGCTGCCACCACACACTTGGTTTCAGTGTCATGCTTCAGGGGCTCTAGACAGAGACCCTCTAAAGGCAAGAAGAGGGTGGGACTTGTCCCTTCTGCAAAGCAATGACTTTTTTGCCCAGCTGCTATTGGTATCGAAGCCAAATAGCCAGCTTCCCTTTGTCTGGGGCACCTCCCTCTCTCTCCTGCCTGTTTTGCCCAAAGACTGGGGAAGGGCATGTCCTTGTCCAGGCTCTTCCTCCTCAGGGAGAGTCTGCCACTGAGCCAGGGTAGCCTGATTGGCCAGGTAATCAAGGTCAGGTGGCTCAAACTGCGAAGCCCTGGGCATTTGTTCTGCCCCATCTGACTAGACAGATGCCCAGCCTTCAGGCAAGAAATCATGCTCTGATTCTTGTTATTCTGAATACACTTTGCAGAGCACCCAGCAGCTGCAACACACTATTCATCAGCCAAAACCTTCAAGGCGCTTTACGCAGCCCCATGCAGAATGAGATGTACAGGGCTGGGGCTTTGTATTGCCAGGTTTCCATGTGCTGCCAGGGAAACCCAGGGTGTAGACCACAGGAGCAGACCCCCATTCGTGCGTCTCTCCCCTTACCTGTGAGCCCCGAATTCAAATTCCACCCAGGCAGTTTCTGGGGTAGGGAAGGGGCCACTTGGCTAAGCTTCAGACCCCACCCTGACCCTTGCCTCAGGGCACGTGGGTAAAGTTTGTGACTCTGTACGCCCTCCCCCCATGCTTTTCTGATTGAGATGCTGCCCTCTTTTCCCAGAGGTGTACCATCCAATCCCTTCTCCATCAACTGCCCGGTGGCCTCTGAAGCCCCTTCTGCCACACACAGGTCAGTAAGAGGGCACCCAACCCCACCCGCGCAAGATGCAAGATTCTCCGCGCGCCTCCGGGGGCCATCCCACACGGCCCGCCTCGGCGCGGCCAGGAAACGCCTTCTTTGGGACCCTTGCCCTGGCCTCTCCCACTGCCTGTGTGCTCTCATCGAAAAGTCAACAGCACTGTCACCCCAGCCTGGGACATCGCTAGCGGAAAGTGAACGCTGTGCCCCTTCCCTCGCTGGGCTTTCTCTCTGGGACCCGGGCTGTCCCGCCCAGGCACCAAGCGCGACACTGCACCAAACCCTCCCTGGGTGCACCAGGTCCTCGGGCTCCCCATCCCTGCCCAAGTGCGCCCCTCACGCCCACACCACCCGGACACACCGCGGGTGGAGACGACGCTGCGGTGCAGTCTGGCGGTGCCCGGCGCCGCCCTGCCCACCCTGCGCCGGGTGCGCTCTCGGTCCCCGGGGTCCTGTCCGCGCGCCCCTACCTCGCAGCCCCGCGCTCTCTGAGCTGCCGGAGGACAGCGTGGGTACTTGGAATGGGCCAACAAGACCGAAGAAGTCCCGGCGTGACGTCAGCACGCGGGGCAGGGATCGAGGCGGGACCGGTTCCAAAGTGTGAGACGAGGGCCAGTCAGGGCGGAGCCACACCCCTCCCTGCGCTCCCTCGCCATCCCGCGCTGGGAAAGCTGCGAGGCCGACCTAATTCTCCCCGAAATACCTGGAGTGGGACCTGAGATCTTAGAAAGCCAAGCAGCGAGGGGAGGAAGCTTCGTGGATTCACCCCCAGGCGACAGCGCTAAGCCAGCACCCCCCCAGGTGGGACAGGTAAGGTCCTGAATGTGGAGGTGTGACCTGACATAGGACCTACAATCTAGTCCCTCATCAGTGCCCCTGGCACTTCCCCTCATTTATCTGTCCCGGGCATCTCGTGTAATAATGATTCGCTGTAGCGCTTTCTCCACGCCACACCCAATATGCTCAGTGCTGAGGACGCCTTATCTCATGTTGGTGGGCTCCTGACAAGCCTGAGAGCCACCCTTTTGGTGCCCATTGGATTGGTGAGAAAAGGGTAGGCAGGAAAAGTGCAGAGCTACAGACCCTCATCAGCCCCCTAGGCTCTTGTTCACCTTCTGGAACCTTCTTTCCCAAGGCAGAACTCTCTTGGCTTCAGAAGGCCACCCCTGGCCTCCTGCAACTGCCATCACCACTGGGCTGAATGCAGCCCCTGGGGTTTGTGCTCATCACCCGCCACCCCTCCCGCTGCATCAGAAACACAGGCAGCAACTTGGTAGGTCCATGACCCCCAAGCGTGGGTACTTGGAATGGGCCAACAAGTACCCATGCCTGGGAGATGGTGGGCGTTCACTCACTGTGGCAAGAGGAGAAGATGTGAACCCTTTGGATCAATTTATGGACCTGCTGTAGTGCTTTCATTGACCTCCAATCATGGTCATTTATTCCAGGACTGGAAGAGGCATGAGGCTCAGTGGGGCCCCTGGATGCCTCTGGGACCCCAAGACTGGGGAATCAGAAGCACCTATTTAGTCCGCCACCCTAGGAAGGAGGAGTATGGGGCAGCTCTGGTCTGCTTGCGGGCCACATGGATCCTTAGTCCTGCCCAACCCTCAGCTCCTCTAAGGCCAGCTGTTCAGGATGCCCCAGGGAGCCCCCTGCAGGGACTTGGGCAGCATTCTGGCAATAATTCACCATTCCCTCACAGGGCCCACCACACCAAACCTCAGTATGGTTGTGTAGACCTTCTTCCTGGGGTCTGGAGTCCTGGGAGACGCCTTGCTTGAAGACAGGGCTCATGTGTGAGCTCAGATTGATAAATGGTGAGTGGAGGCTGTTGGTATTCAACTAATGTGCTGCGTCCCCGAGGAGGGCTGGTCTCAGAGACAGACAAGACAGCTGAGGGGGGAAAACACATCGGAGGCCACTAGTGCAGAGCCTGAGGCCCTCTACAGTTCCCTCCCCTCCAGAAGGGAAGGCCGGAGGGTCTTGTGAACACCTGCCTGTCCAGGTGGGCCCAGCTCCCCTTCCTGGCCTTCCTCTAAAGGGCCACCCTGCTAGCGTGGCTCCAGGCAACCCCCAGGGTAGGGTGTGGAGGAGCCTTTGGACTTAGCCACTCAAGGGCTCTGGGTCCCCTAGAACTAAGCCAGTCCACAGACAAGGACTGGTCAGGGGATTTCACATGGACCCCCGAGGCTCCAGAGAGTCTGGCCTCCCCACCCTCACCCAGGCCCAGTGTCCCAGTCCTATCCTCTGCTTTTCGTTGCAGATGCTATAGCTGAGCCCAACTCAGTAGGCAAAGGAGACAGTCCATGGTCCTCAACCCTGCCGTGTCTTATCCACAGGACAGAGGATCCGAGCCATCTCTGTGCCCATCGCAGCCACCCTGGATGACAAGCAGGTGGGCCAGAGGCTCCCAGAGGCACTCCTTAGGAAGGAAAGTTAGAATGCCAGAATTGGGAGGGGACAGAGCCCCTAGGGAACACTGTTAGGACAATAAGCCTATACTGTTCTGCTCTCAATTTCCTCCTGAGCATCTGTTGGGGCTGTTAACTCAGGGAGCAATCAGCCCCATCTCTATGCTAAGTCCCAGGTTAAGAACAGGTAAGGGCTGGGGGTGGGCACTCCACACTGTGCCAAGGTCACCTGGATGGTCCAGCCCACCCGCTTGGTCCCCTCTGGGAGCTTTCCCAATATGTACCCTGTGCTTTGGGAGGTGGGAGTCCCTTCTCTGATGACCTAATATACTGGCCACTGCCAGCAAAGGACTATGTCTCTCCCCAGTGTTATCTAGAGTCAGGCAGGTTGGGGGTGCTGGCCAGACAGTGAGCTGGATTCTCAAGGTCCACGGGAAAGCCACCTTCCCTCGGCCTCAAACTCCAGTGTCCATGTGTCACAACTGGTCAGCAGCCTCTTGTTAGTGCCATAGTCAGTGGTCATCAGAATAGGCATTCCTGCCAGGTGCAGTGGCACACATCTGTAACCCCAGCAGCTCGGGAGGCTGAGGCAGGAGGATCACAAGTTCAAAACCAGCCTCAGCAAAAGTGAGGCCCTAAGCAACTCAGTGAGACTCTATCTCTAAATAAAATACAAAATAGAGCTGGGGATGGGGCTCAGTGGTCGAGTGCCCCTGAGTTCAATCCCCAGTACCCCCCCACAAAAAAAAAGACCGTGCATTCCAATGCCCCCTACAGTCAGCTATAAGCTTGGCCCTGGCCCCCTGTCAGGCACCCCAGAGGTGGAAGGGACTCTATTTGCAGGGTAAAGCCTGTGTTTAGTGGCATCATGGCTCTAGCTGGTGTCCAAAAGCCTTTTCCCCAAGCCACTCCTTTGCTCTCTGGATCATCACCAGCCTCCTGGGGCCTTTGCAAGCAGCCCGCCCACCTTCTGCATCATTCTGCAAAAACTCCCCCATGCATGGCTGAAGGATGTGTCACCACCGTCCTCCACACTGCAAAGGAATTTTCCTTAAGCCTCGAGAAATGATGATACAACAGTAAATATCCATGGCAGACAGTTCGGGAATTCCTAAAGAATAAAACTTGTCAGGCTGCCTCCTGACAAATTTTTTTTCCTCCACACTGAAATACATTTTTAAAGGGATTCCCACCACATAGTCCACTCTAACGGGGTCATGTCACTTAGCCTCTCTGTCATTAGCCACCAGTCAGCAGCATATGCCAAATATTGCCTCAGGGATATTATATAGAGAGTCGTCTGCTTTAGGACATTTTGATTTATCCCAATTCCAGTTTGTTATGATAACTGATAAGCAACCCTGTTTCTACAGGTCATTATGCAGGTATCGGCTGTCTTCCGCCTTGGCGTAAATTCCTGCAGGTAGATCAGGGCTCAAAAGGTGACCCCTCTGATGTGCCATTTCTAAAGTTTTTCTTATTGGGAGTAAAAAACTCAGAAACTGAGAAAAGGTCCATGTTGGACTCTAACTCTGGTTATTAGAAAGAAGCTGTGGAATCCCTGCCCCCACCTGCCACAGTGGGGACAGGCTGCAGCCACTGCAGAGTCACTGGGTGTCAGGCCTTCAGCAGCCTGGCTGGAGCTTGAACTTGAACCTCTAGGTGAGCAAGGCCCTAACGGGGTACCCTGGTAAACTGGAGGTCCCCACAGTGGCTGGTACCCAGGCCGATGCCCCCTCAGACCACCCAGTCTATACATAGCACCCACTGGCTTCCTGGAAGCTGGGCTCCAGACCCCTTCTGTGGAAGCCAGAGTCTGCTCCCTTGACATGGGAACCCTGTCCCTCCAACCAGATGGGCCAAGGCTGCCCCCTCACCTTCACCCTCATCAACACCCTGTGACAGGGGCAGACTTGGGCTACCAGAGCTGAGTGGCCTAGAGAAGTTGCTACACCTTCCTACACCTGTTTCCCCAGAGTGGGTTGAACAGTGGCCCCCAAAAGATGTGCCCACCTGTACCCTCAGAGTGGGATCTTATTTGCAATAGTGTCTCTGCAGATATAAAGGAAGCACCTCAAGAGGAGATAACTCTGGATCAGGCCTCAGACCATTGAGAGTGTCCTCATAAGAGACAGAAAATAAACTGAGCATGGTGGTACCTTCCTGTAATACCATCTTAGGAGGCTGAGGCGGGAGGATTCCAAGTTTGAGGCCAGCCTGAGCAACTTAGGGATATCTTGTCTCAAAATAAATAAAATAAATAAAAGGCCTAGGAACATAGCTCAGTGGTAAAGTAGCCCTGGGTTCAATCCCCAGTACAAAAAAAAAAAAAAGAGGAGAGGGATAGAAACCACAGTGTCTCGAGGCAGGAGGCCATGTGACATGGAAGCAGAGATGGAGTGATGTTTGGGACAGGATGTTTAACTTCTCCAGGTCACAGGCCAAGGAGCGCCTGGAGACTCCAGAAAGTAGAAAAGACAGGAAGGACCTTCCCCTGGAGCCTTCCCAAGAGGAGGCTCGAATGTTTTCTCTGATAAGCAGATGCTGAGCTGTAGTGGGGTGGGGGATGGGGAGAATGGAGGAGCTTTGGTTTGTGTGGAGAGAAGCCAGGGGAGGGGAGGGTGGGGATGTGGGGATGGGAAGGACAGTAGGGTGAAACAGACATCGTTACCCTCCATGCATGTACGATTACACTCGGGAGTGACTCTGCACCATGGACCACCAGAGGAATGAGAAGTCGTGCTCCGTTTGTGTACAATATGTCAAAATGCATTCTATCACAAAAATAAATGAATTAAATTAAACTTTTATTATTTATTTATTTAAATTAGGTATATATGACAGCAGAATGCGTTTTGATTCATTGTACACAATTGCAGCACAACTTTTCATTTCTCTGGTTGTACATGACGTAGCATTGCACCATGTGTGCAGTCACACATGTACCTAGGGTAATGATGTCCACCTCATTCCACCACCTTTCCTGCCCCTGTGCCCCCTTCCTATCCCTCTCTCCCCTTTGCCCAATCAAAGTTCCTCTACTTTTCCCATCACTCCCCACCCCGTTATGGATCAGCATCTACTTATCAGAGAGAACGTTCTACCTTTGGTTTTTTGGGATTGGCTTAGCATGATATTCTCTGACTCCATCCATTTACCTGCAAATGCCAAAATTTTATTCTCTTTTAATGCTGAATAATATTCCATTGAGAATCTATACCACAGTTTCTATATCCATCCATCTACTGAAGGGCATCTAGGTTGCTTCCACAGTTTAGCTATTGTGAATTGAGCTGCTATAAACATTGATACGGCTGCATTACTATAGTTTGCTGATTTTAAGTCCTTTGGGTATAGACCAACGAGTGGGATAGCTGGGTCAAATGTGGTTCCATTCCAAGTTTTCTTAGGAATCTCCATAATGCTTTCCAGAGTAGTTGCACCAATGTGCAGTCCCACCAGCAATGTAGGAGTGTACCTTCTTCCCCACATCCTCGCCCACATTTATTGTTGTCTATATTCTTTTTTTTTCAAATTTTATTTTAGTTGTAGGTGGACACAATGCCCGTATTTTTATTTATTTATTTTTATGTGGTGCCGAGGATTGAACCCAGTTTCTCACCTGCACTAGGTGAGCGCTCTACCACTGAGCCACAACTCCAGCCCCGTTGTCTGTATTCTTGATCACTGCCATTCTGACTGGTGTGAGATGAAATCTTAGATTAATTTTGATTTGCATTTCTCTAATTGCTAGAGATGTTGAACATTTAATTAATTTAACTAAATTTAAAAAAAAAAAAGAAAGAAAGAGTGTGGCTCTACCCACATCAGACTTATGGCCTCCAGCAGTGACAACAGATTCGGGCTGTAAGTCAACGTGTACAACAGCCACTGGAAACTCATCTCATTTGAAAACTAGGAAAATGCTTCAGAGTGTTAGAAGGATTAGGAAAAAAAAAGACTATTAATGTTCTTGGCACACAGTAGGTCTTTAAAGCAGGGCAACCATTCATTCAGCAATACTTTGTGCTGGGCTTTGGGACAGGATGCTTAACATCTCTGTGCACCTCAGCCCTGGCTTCCCTATAGCCCCAGCTGCAGGGCCAGCAGGCAAGGGTGGGGGCAGCAGGGGATGATGGGCACTGAGGACCGCTTCTTGCCCATGTGCCATGTAGACGGGCCTGAGAGATGAGCCAGGGCCAAGGGGCAGAGAGGGCTTCAGGCCAGGGAGAGGGACCCCAGAGTGTGCTGAGCCTTTGGGCAGGTGGGAGCCGCTGGGTGATGTGGGTACAGGATGAGGCACCACCCCGGGTGGGAGCCGCTGAGAGCAAGGAGGCAGGGATGGGAACAAAGGGCTCAGGGAGGGCCCAACCTTATACTGAGGCCATCTGGGAGCAGTGAGGGATGGGGGGGGAGGGCAGGTGATATTTAGATGGGAGGCGATGGGGACTGAGTCCTGGCCAGACAGGGGATGCAGGGCGGGGCAGGGCCACAGTGCTGTTCTGTAAGACTCAGGGCCACAAATAGGGCAGGGGCACAGGGTCAAGGCCTCCTCCAATCCAGGGGCTCCCATATGCCTCAGCTTCCCCAGGCCTCCCTGTCTCTCCAGATCAAGAAGCTGACCTGGAATGCAAAGGGAGCTGAGGGCCGTTCCATCTGCTCCATACTCCCAAAGCAGCCATTTTTCCAGGGACTGTTTACTGAGGGCCCACCCAGTGTCAGCTCCAGCTGGGTGCCAGGGACCCCAACCTGCTGGAGCTCCAGCCCCCACCCCATCCTACAGTAGATGAAGACCCTTCTCAGGCCTGAGGGGGAACAGAAGCCCCTGGGCACAAGGAGCATCATGCTGCAGTGATGGGGGGCACAGGGCTCCCAGACAGGCCCAGCTGGCCCTGGCCTGGGGCCCAGTCGCCTGCTCTCAGCCTGAAGCTACCCTTTGAGCTGATGGATTAGCATTCGCTCCGGGTCCCCCAGCTCTGAAAGCCCTTGTTTTCCCAGAGAACAGCCAGGGTGGCTGGGGTGGCTGGAGCTTCAGGGACCCCAGTGCAGAGCCACCCCTCAACATGCACACACTGAAGGCCCTTAGCTGCTCTGCACATGGAGGGGGAGCTACCTGGCCCCTCCTGGCTGCACCCGTGGTCCTTTCCCTATCACCCAGGCCCCAGAGTAGGCCAAGGTCAGAGGATGAGGATGGGCCCAGGCATCCAGGAGCCTCACCTTCCCAGTTTGCCTGGGTCTGTTTCTCCTGCCTGCACCTTGCCGGTCCCCCAGCACCGTTACCAACTCCCCCCTCCCTGAACCTCACTCTTGGTTTTGTATAGTCAGGGCAGGGACCAGGCCCACCTGTTGCTTCTCAACAGAAACAGAAGAGTGGCCCAGGAGGGATCCGCTGAAACAGACCCCTCCCCAAGCAGGGTACGCGTGTCCTCCTCACACCCTGGGACATCTGTCCCTGTTGGGGTTCACTTTGTCTCTGGGCTGCCTGGACGTGGTCCTGCAGCCCCTACCTGGGGTCCCCAAAACAACAACATTGTCAGGTAGGGTGGTGCTGACAGTCCCCGGGCTTCTCAGCTCTGAGCTGCATCCTGTGCAGCTGCCACAGCGGAGAGTCCTGGCTGCTTCTCTGGAACCTGCTTCCTCAGCCATTGCAGGACAGATGGGGTCAGCCAGGGGAGGCCAGGAGCATGGCAGCCTGCACCCTCTGAGGCTCCTGCCTGTCTGCTCACCTTTGATGGTCATGCGGGTTCAAAAGCCCAGTGTGTGGTAATTTGGCCAGGGTGTCCTGCTGAGGGGACACTCTGAAGACCTGGGTGTCCCTCCCTCTGGGGAGACCCACAGGACTTCCTTCACCCTACTGGTGGGCAGGAGAGACCCAGGGAGGCACAGAGTCCAGGGGCAGTGAGCGCGGGGTGTGGACCTCCAGTGCAGTGGGACAGGGCCCTGGCCCTGCATGCCCAGCCCTGCCTGAGGGGTCATCGCTTTGTGGCAGCACCAGGCCTCTGACCCGTTAGTCCAGCAGCTTTGTCTGCACAGAATACCCGGTGGCAGCACCAGGTGGCCCTGCTCTGGGGTGGCTGCTGGAGGAGGGATCCTCAGGCCAAGAGGCCAGGACATCCCAAGTTGGCCCCATGGTAGCCCACCCCTCAGCGCGGGGAGGGTGGGCACAGGAAGCCCTCTCCACACAGAAGGTTTGCTCTGGGGGCCCCAGGGCCTGGCCTCCTGCTGCTCCAGGGGCCATCACCCCGCCTGG